ACTAAACTTTCTTTACATGTTCGTGGCGGCACCCAGACTTTCACTTATCACAGCGGATGAGGAGTAATTATTGCATATACGATATTTCATCGCCAAAATATGTCGGAACTCCTGTAACAAAAATCAGGCTTGACTAGTCATTTTCAATTATGGTCACATTCTTCTGACTGAAGGAATGTCCCTCAGAATGGACGTGTTGCTCAGTAGCAGGGTGATAAGTCTGTCTGAGGTGAACTGCACAGTAGCGTTGTTTGATCCGGATATTTAATTTCTGATTATTTTCAGCATATATTTTATTGGAGTCCCGTCACTCGATGTTGTAAGCATTTAAGGCTTCTCCATCTTGCTCAGGGTATATTTCTTAAATAAGCATTGCAGACCCTACGTTCCATATAATTTAAGTATTTTCTGAAAAATAAATTGAATTTTTCGTTTATGAGTTTACATTCGAATACATGAAGTCAGCAATGAGGGGGCCGGTGCAAGCTGTACTGATCCGAAGCAGGCTAATGATCAGTTTCGTAAGTCCTGTCGTGAACTTCATCAGGGAATCCTACATTCCTCGCGATTCATAAATAACCAGTTTACCATTTTCCTCAGAGGTACATACAATGGGAAGAAAGTTTGCTCAGTGGATCTCGCAGTTAATAAAGCAAGTCTATGCCACGGATTAGGAGCGATCCTCTATTTTAATTTTGCATTGGTTGATGAGGACAACATGGAAGCTGCTGAGTATGTTGAGTACTAGACATTATGACCCCTTGGAATTCGGGCCATACTGCCTACTCGACAAGGATCATTAGAAAATCTCTTCTCATCTGTTTCTCCCTCTGACCCAAACGAAATGGCAGCAAACCATGCCAATAGACAGAACTCTATGGAGTACATGAGCCACTAATTCTAAGATCTTAACGTCACTGGTTTCAGGTACAAAAGTTAATCATATAATTCAGACAATAAATTAGGTAGACTGCAGCATGCCTGTTCAGCAAATTCTACTGCCTAAGTTTCGAATGCGCACCTTGTTAACCTCAACGAAATCTGATGAGGTAGTGGTGTTTATAAGTCATGCAATTATGCTGCAGAATGAATGAAACGGTTTTCGTCTGATCACTACCCTTTGGTCAGTCTGGCATAACACACCAGTTGCCAGTGTCTTCAGGTTCAATGAGATAAACAGGACCTCACGCTTTGTCACGACGGAATCCTCAGAGAAGGCACGGCCATAGCCTTTCCACGTAGTATCCAACAAAACTCTCAACAAAATGAGTTATGCTTAGAGCTCAGATACTCAGAGGTTTGCAGTATGCCCAAACCTCAGGTTTATGCTTGTCGCATGCATTTTCAGTTAACATAATTAATTGTCAAACTTATTTAGGCTTTCGTTTAGATTGTACTTCCGCATAATCTCCATATAATCAATACATTTATTAGACCGAACTCGTTGGAGGCAATAAAACCGGATCCGTCCTAGTCGACCCGGTGTATTCGAAGACTCCGGACAAGTTGGCGACCGTTTCGTCAGTTCCTCAACAGGTTGCTGGCCGATACCTGTTCAGGGTGGACGACGTCGTACGAAAAGGCGGTTGCTCGAATCTTACCGTTGGCACTTGTAAGACACAGCTTCGGTGATAGACGTCACGGCGCTTGAAAGTAACCGATTTCAGATCGACTGACCATTTATCCGGACATCGTTAACTCAATGGGAAATTCGACAGTTACTCTCAACGGCCTTTGTTTAAAACCGAACGATCAACCGATACTGTACTTCTCTGAAAACAGGGTACGACTGGGTGCTTCTTCCTGTCTGATTTTACAACTCTATGCAAAACATTGTAGCCGGCCTTCTGTGTGGTAAAAAATGCGGCCATCGCCGAATGCAAAATGCTTCAGTACTACCAGTGGAGCGTAAAACATGTATATTTCCGTGTCAATCAGAACCGAGTATACATCGGCACTATATATTATGGTAAGAACGTATGCCTTACAGTAACATGTGCACTGAATTTCGACCTGTGTTTCTAGTGCCCGATGGATTAGATCCCTACGACCTCGAATTGGGGTCTATGGATCTGTGGTACGTGAAAAATCCGCCCTTAAAGCGGGACATATCGTGGTACCCGGGAAATTTTACAGACACGAACTTCCGCAGAATGAGTACCTTAGAGCTTTCACTGTGGGGTTATAAGGAGTGGCGTGACGATCGAGTCATGAAATTCATTCCTACGTTGACGAAACTCGCGGTTATTAACAACGTCAATAACAACCAAGACCCAACAGTACTGAAACAGACGTATAGCCTTGCTTCGAACCAGCTGTATCCCTCCAATTGGCTGATACCCGTCTCGGAGGCGATGACGTATCGATTCGGATTTTTGAAGCTGGCTTCCATCGACCCACAGCACAATATGGGTGAAGGCAACGCGTAAGGCAAACGTACTATTAAATTTGCAAATAAAAATTTTTCTCATTCTCATTTAATGAACTGTGAAAATGAATCACTATAGAATATAGGCTCAGTGGTGCCATTAAAGATTTCAGGCGAAAATGAAATTTTTTCGAGTTTATTGGAGAACTGCATGGTCGGGCCTTCCGCTCACTAATTTTATCTGATGTTTGCAATATGCATATTTTGTTATTCGCCTCAGTCATCATGAAAACTCGGGAAGACTACGAGTCTCAAAATGAGAGATATGAAAATTTCGAGATCAGAAGTAAGACTTAGACTTGAGAAAGTTTTGTTGATGAATATTAAACACCTGAGCTGTTTGCAGAAGAAAAGGTTCTCTGACAGTCTTTTTACACTTTTGCTAATGAACAGCGATTAAAACGTCGTTGAATGTTTCCCTCAGAAACCAGAGTTGGCCTCTACCTTATTCCTCTATTTCGCATAGTGACCTCCTGGTCAGTATCTGCCTTGTTTAACATCTCACATGAGAAGTTCATGGGTTGGATTAAACGATGCATACTCAACCAGTTTGTCTGCCGTGGCCAACCTCATCTCCTTAACCTCTGTGTCTACGGAAGTCACTTGTGCTCAGAACAAAACGGAGTCATTCCTTGTGTGGTCATGCCATTAAACACAAATTGTTTGTCGAAAGAATAGCTGCTGTGCCTTCGTTTAAATAGATATCTCCATGCTGATTTGAAAGAGACAAGTTATATGGCATTTTCTGTAATTTCGGAAAGAGTCACTCCTTTCTGAGCCTTGAATATTGGGCATCTTTCCAAAAGCATTTGTGGTCAGGGCGATTCTTGAACTCTGGCAGGATAATGCCATCGATGGAGATTATGAAGGCGAGATACTTAGATTAGTCAACCTCCTGTAGAAACTCACCTCCATTCCGCTTGTAATTCAGCCTTGCCGGTTGGGTTCCAGGAAACTCGCAGTTGGTCATGACCTCTGTTGACCTCCTCCCAAAATTTCTGCAAAATGCATGCATTTGTGAACATATAACCCCTAGTGTTCTAAGGTAGCTAGTACAAATAGTAGATGTCAAATTCCACCGGTAGATATAACATTTATATTCATAATGCTAAATTTCCTCATCGATCCTTTGCTTCTCGATGGGAGGTGTGGGGGGCAGTGTGTTTAAACAAGTCATGGCTCTATGATATCTAAACGCGTGTAGTGTGCATAAGATGCGATACCTCATGAATAAGGGAATGTTCGAGCACCGGCCAATTTTGCCACTATTCGTAGACAGCTACACAGACAGCATAAAATTCATTCATCTCGATGCAAACATATTTACTTTTGGTTTATTGCTAAATGGTTTAGAATCTGGACAAAACCGATTCCTCTACATTGGTTCTATAAAGACCTGGACCTAGAGAGGTTCTCGGCTGATAAATGTATTGAATGGTTCGAAGAAGACGGGCAGCAGTGGAACTTCATTAGGGACACGGAAACGAACTCTTCGTGTCCGTGTCGATTGGAGCAGGCCAACATCGACCTCGGTCGATACATGCCCCACCCACGTTGCTCACAGCGTTTCCGGACACTCAGCTGCGACACCTTCATCGGTGCTAAAGAGTGCTTCATATCCACCAACAACGTAGAGGGGTGGGTGCTAAACTGTGCTCGAAGAAGTTTTAGTTAATGATATACGTTTCAGGAATTACGTCACTCACTATGGACAGGTGTGCTGCTATGACAGGGACGGTTTCCTGATGCAGACCACGTATCAGACCGTGGTACAGGTTCCCGAGTATCCGTACAATCCAGGTTTTCCTCAAAGGGCCTATGAATTTGGCACTTATCCATTCACTAAACAGTTTGAGGTATGACAAAGTTCCTTTTGCTTGAATTGAACATTTATACAGTATATTTGTGTGATTAGCTTCCAACTTTGTCAAACTATTATCACGATGTGTTGCCGTACTTCTTCTGCTGCAAGTGGGCTGTCAACCACTGTCAATTCTTTTACTGGAGAAGGCCAGGCAGTGGATGCCAGGAGTATTACGCTCCAGCTGTTGGTATGATAAATTCAACAAAAATTATGTCATAGGATTAGCTATGCCTGAAAGCTATATTAAACCGAAAAGGGTTAGTTTTGGGCTGTTAACTAGGCAGTTCTATTCACATGTGAGCTTGCCGCATTGCCGCTACAGAGCTGATACTATCCGATGTTTACAGCTGTTTTGATGGTTGAAAGCTATTGTAATTTTGGATAATCGTCTTTAAGTTTTAGTTTTGTAGAGATATCACCATCACTGAACGACTGTTCAAAATTTCATGTTAATGCATTGCATTACTCACGATTACTCATTTCAAGTTAACCTATATATCCATTTGAATTCTCAGCTATTCTCAACCAATAATTGCCCGAATTCTGTAATTCTGGGAATTTGTTCAGAAAGACATGAGAAAAATTTACGTCTGGATCAACTGGTCTAAATCCAAACATCAGCAGATCATGAGGTATGCAAGATCCAAGTCTGTCCAGGACAGAGGAGAACGCAAATCACCTCCAAGACCAGATTTGACGGCGCATTGCAAAGCCCTTTTCTTCAAACTGCCTAGGCAAGGTTGGGTGGGTTAAGCAAGTCACTGCTTCATGGTGTTCTATCACCTGCTGTGCCAGATGAACATCGCATCATACAATTCGTAAGAACCCATTACAAACGATATTGCAGGAGCTGCTACTCCTTATGTGCTGCCGCATAGTCATAAAGGTACGTTTGTACGCTGGACGACTATGGCTTGCAGCTGGGTCTCCATCCCCGTTGGCCTCTAGGGGAAAGGGAACGGTGTAGTTCGTCGCAAAATCTGGTCTTGGGGGGGACCTATGCATAGTCTGACGCACTCCAGCTTGCAAACATATGTTATATTTATGTGAGGGGGGGTAAGAGACAGGACAAGAAGACGATGTGAGCAATTTCAATAGTAGCAGCCCACCAATGACCTTTTAAGCAAAGGGCTCAAATTCAGATAACTTGTTAAAGCATGAAACAAATGAAAAGAAATTTTAGAATTGATTTGAATTAGTTCACTGTTCTATTTTTGTGCTTTGTGTTCCAGTGATACTACTACAGTGATAGCAAAACACTCTGGCGTTATAAGCTTTAGGACCAGCTAAAGGTTTTGTGCTACAAACCAAAGATCATAAAATTGCTAGCATTTTTTACTGTTTTAATATTGCACTAAAGCAGCAAAGTTCTGAGATGATTTGAATGACCATGGTATTTAGGAACGGTGATGGGCTCTGGACATTTCGTTACCTACGATGGCGTCAAGTACACGTTTAACGAACCTGGAACATACGTACTGTTGCACAAGCCAGAATCGTTCACTTATCCACTGAATCGCTTCAGTTTCATGAAATCCCCAAAGGTGCTGATCGAGCTCCGTTTGGAACGATATCCGAACCGAATGGTGGATTTCAGTAAATCTCTCTTTCGCAGCACATCACTCTTTGACCTTCACATGCTAACGGTGGTTTTGAAGGCAGCCGGTCAATCAATCAGTACGAGCTGGTTCAGCCTCTGAACGCGTCGGTGGTCACCGGTGTGGCGCTCCAAGAGGGTAACCCCGAAGAGTCGGACAAAGTGTTGGTCATATTGCGGAAGGATTGCCGTCGATATCGTTACCGAACAAACATTTTCGTCAATGACGAGCTGGTCTACTTTGACACCATGAAAATTCAGCGATTTAGAGGTAAGCAAAGTTCTCACGGTGATTCGAGGTAACAGGCACTTTGAGTAAAATTTTAAGGAGTCACCATTTACGTCAATGGTTGGATGGAGGGACAGTCAGAGGTGTACGTTGTTTTGGAAAAGTCACGCATCGGAGTGCGTATTCGTGAAAGTTACGGCATGGAAATCAGACGACGCGTTTTGTACGAGGAGTCTATGGGATTGCTGGACGTTCTTGTCTCGGTACCTCCAGAGTACAAATTGGTAAAAATGGCACCATATTACGCCATAAGGCATAAGGTACCAAATGTTGTCTTTTAGAGCCCGTATGTAGGAGGCCAAATGCCCTACGACCAAGGTGTTGCTGGTCTGTTGGGTACCTTTACAAACAACAGCAAGGACGAATTTTTGTTGCCTGACAGAAAGACCTTTGCTTCGCAGTCAGACACCGACATCAGCGGTGAAACAGCATCCAAATTTGCCAACAACTGTAAGCACCTTTATCGGGTTTATTCTCTGGACTAATCGCAACATATGCTTGCAACAGGGAAAGTGGACAACCACCAGTTCGAAGACCTCTTCACTCTGATCGACCTGAAACACGGTGTCTGG